GAGAGAGAGAGAGAGAGAGAGAGAGAGAGAGAGAGAGAGAGAGAGAGAGAGAGAGAGAGAGAGAGAGAGATATTAAGCCTCCTTCCGAGCACCGCTTCGAGTTTGTCGTTCCTAATTCTATTTTTAGTAACGCTTTGAGTATCTTCTCTACAGGCCGTGTACCCCTTGCTTCCCACATTCGCTGCGCTTGGGTAGGATGTAGCCCATACTCGCACTAGGCCTTTGACTTCTGATCTATTCTGACCGTATTTACGGTCTGATTCATTCGAAAAAGTCCTGCTGTACAACAAATGTTCGTTCTATACTTACCGTTCATTCGCTGAAAAAGTAGACAGGGATGCTTTCCGCTCCATCCAGTGACGGAACACTCAATTGATATTTTCACCGTACATTGGTTGATCAGCTGGAGCACTACCGAGAGACACATCCTGGAATGAGTTGCCGTTCACTGGAAAAAAATCGATGCGTAGTCGTTTTCTGTTTGCTTCAAACGAGCTGGCCGCTGGTGCATATGCTGTATCAATAGCATATTTTGCTGTATGTTCATATACTGTATGAATCCGATGTTTGCTGGTATATGCAGCCTACTATGCTTGTCACCTATTCGAAAGGAGCTCGCCGCTGGTGCATATCCTGTATAAAAGTCCATATTTTGCTGTATGTTGCTATGCTGTATAAATCCCATGTTTGATGGTATATTCAGCCTACTGTACTTATATGACCTATTCGCTTTGTTCTCACTCGAGTCATTTCATTGTTCGTACGATACTGATTCTGGTGCTGACGGTGCGTGAGGATGATTGATAATAATGATAATTGACGAGATGATGACGGTTGACGATTATGATGATTGATGAGGATTGATAATGATTGATGATGATGTTTGACGATGACGATGAAGAAGAATGGAGTTAGAGATCTTCCAGTCTGGGCCCGGTCAGTGTTCCACTGGTAGTGACAGAGGGAGGGATTATCACCCGACATTGAAAGCCACCCGCTTCTCCTCGAATAGAAAGTGTATTATGGGCACAATAAGGGCCTCGTTCTACCACTTGGCAGAAGTCTGGAGAATGGCGAGTGTATCTTGACATAAAAGGCGGCAAGATACGCTCGCCATGCGTCACATTTTTTGGCGAGTGGTGGGACGACGCCCGAACTCTGGACCGGACTCCACCTCCCTTCAGTACACAAGCACAACAACACCTAATGCATTTTATTCTTATTCGCGAGAGAAGAGTCGAACATTTTCAGAAGAACCATAGATGTAGATGATTGGATGTTGCTCACTCGTTTACAAAACGAAAAAAATGGGAAAAAAAAAGAGAAGAGAACCGTCGCTCTCCCT